ACAAAAGAGATATAATAACCTAACATTTAAAAAAAAAGATTGTCAAAGTTTATTAAAGTGTCCAAAATATATGTATTTTTTCTTCCCACAAAGCCAGATCTGGTAGTCTTCATTATCTTATTGAAAACTAGAGAAGGCTCATCTCCAACACAAATGACTAATAATTTTCTATAACCACTAAGGAAAAAAATTAGAAATCTTTCTCTGACAAGTAATAAAGCATTTAAAATTCTGTAAACTCAATGAGATTCAGAGAACATTTTTCTTTTGTGTGTGTACACAAATATGTATTATGTATGTATTTATACGTATATATATACATATATATATATACGTATAAATAATACATATTTATTTTAGGCAAAGAATATTTTCTTCCTTTTCTAAAAGTAATCTATCTCCCCAAATAACAATATGTTGATTATTGTTCTCATGGAATGCCAATAAAAAGATTTGTTATAAAATCCAATTATATTCAATTTCAAGGGAGTCAGAGAAAAAGAAGAATGTGAAAAACATTATACTAAAGTCAAAAATCACTTAATGAGATTTTTCTTCCTATACATAACTCTTATTTCTTATAATTTCCTTATAATTTTGTTGGTGAAGGAAAAAAATTAGTGAAAAAAAATTGTAATACCTCAAGGATAAAATGTTACTTTTTTTTTTTTTAGAGAGAGAGAGAGAGAGAGAGAATTTTTTTTTAATATTTAATTTTTAGTTATCGGCGGATACAACATCTTTGTTTGTGGTGCTGAGGATGGAACCTGGGCCGCACGCATGCCAGGCGAGTGCGCTACCGCTTGAGCCACATCCCCAGCCCTGAAATGATGTTATATACATGCTTTATTCTTCTAGGAGCCTAAATTTTAAGTAGCTTAACCTCCCCAAATAACCACCTCTGAATAAAAGGAAATACTRTGGGACTCACTGAAATTAAATAAATAAAAACAAAACATACCTGGCTCATTGGTCATAGCAGACCAAGTCAAATACATTGTATAGATTGTAATTACTGAAGACTGTAACAAACCAGATCTTGGTTGTGACTCCTATAAACAAAATGTTAAACAATATGGATGAATATTCTGACATCATTTGAGATTTATGAAGATTCAGAAAGGTGTAAGTTTCATAAAAAGTGATACTATGAAGAGCATACCTGGATTTTTGGCAGAATAGACATTATAGAAGCACCAATGCAGAGGAGCATATTGACACTGATGAATGCCTTATTTTCTGAACAACTGGCTGGATGAGTATAGTAGACAAAGAACAAAACGATGGCTACCAAAGAYAGCAGATAATTCAGAGCTGTAGCTGATAATAAGGCTGTGCAAAATAATACAATTAAATAATAAGATTTTTTCACAAATATTAGGAACTGATATGAATTCCTATCAATTTATCAATAAATTATATTTTAAGTCACTAACAAATGCAGGCTACAAAAGCAAGGAAGAAAATTCATTCTGAATTCTATCACTGAATAATTCTACAGTCTGTACATATTTTCAAGTATGATAACACTAGTATGATTTTTTCATGAGGAATATCTATCTAACAATTTACAAACCATGTTCATGTACATTAGGCATTATTTTCAGAATAAAGGTAACTAGAACAAGAATACTATTAAAAKAACTATAATTATTCAGTTATACATAGGGCATGGAAAAACAAAAATATTTTCATTGTTAATGCTGAACCTACAAAACAATGATGCTTTTCCTTAACAACTAAAATCTTAAAATTCAATATACAAAACATGCATTTTCTTTGTGCTAATATGTGTTCAATGTGTAAGAATTTGTTAGAGTTCCCTCACTGACAAGGCATCCATTCAATAATTGTCTGTTGAATGCCTACAACATTCCAGGCCCTGGGGAAATAGCAAAGAACACACAGACAGAAACTCTTAGACTTTTCAATGAAGAATGAGGCTAGGTAAGTGAAATTTCCAAAAGACTAAAAGCCAAACAACATAAACTAGGTGTGTGAGAGAAAAATTAGGTTACCAGATTMACTGGATTTGGCTTGTACTGTTTTAAGTTTTTGTTACCTAAAACCCAGATTACTTTCCCTAAAAATTCAAATGTATGGCTTAAAATAAAACAAAACAAAAACCCMAAAAACCAAAAGRATCAAACAAAGATGAGTTCATGTTCTCTGAGTACAATTAATACATGGAGCTGAGCAGTAACTACACTTTAGTTGGGACAGTCATACTCTCCTATTCATCGCAGTTTCTACTATTTGCACAAGGATTGAGACTCTCTTCTCTTCCTTTATTTTTGTTACTTATTTGGCTCTTATAAGCATCTGAATTTTGACCCACATTTTTAGTGTAAACGTAAGACTCAAGCTCATTATTATAAATAAATATATTATAAATAAATAAACTTTTAATTTCCCTACTATAGAAATCTCCTTAGGAGTTAACTGATACACATAATAGAATCCTTTACAGGAATCCTATACATATATATATATATATATA